ATCCATTCAAATGAATTACCCAAATATTCAAACTAGTGGCAGCAGACAGAGGTGCAAGGGTAACAAGATAGAATAGTGAACTGCAGACTGGCAATCCTTTTAAAGTTTATTATCTGAATTCCAAAATAGTTGGGCCAATCCCCAACACTTATCAAAATAAAAGATAGCTACAGAATAGAAAACTATTCTTGATTCCCAGTTAATTAAATTTTAACAATACATATTATGACAGTGATTCCACAACCACACCATCCTTAGATTATAAACTATATGGAACAAAGAACACGTCTTATGCTTCATTTACAAAGCCCATGTAAATTTACATCACTGCTTACATGATTAATAACTACAACCAGTGTCACATGCACAGAATGTTAAACATTTATTTCAATTTCTCCTACACTACAAAATAAAAATCCACAGTAGGCTCTGGGTATCCTTGACAATCTTTTAAAAATGCATTCCTGAAAACAATACACAACAGTATAAACAGAATTTTAATAAGCCCCTCCAAGACAATCTCCCACCCAAGGATCACCCAATCTTACCCATCTCTGTATAAGCAAGGGAGAAAAAGAGAGGCCTTACAGCATACTCCGAAGGTTAACTAACTTGGGCTATTTGAAGCCCCAGAGAAGTAGAGAACTCCAAAATACAATGGTGTTGTTCGGATCAGATGCAAATAAACTAGGTATTAAGACTGCTGAATCTAATAATCAAACACACACTGCTGTGCTTCATTAGCACAATAACTTAACTAATTTTAACAAACAAGTCTATAGAGTTAAACTTTGAATACATTAACAATAACTTTGATTTGTACAAAGTTATATCTTTTAAGTAATCTAAAACAGTATAACCCTATTATACTACACCTCTACCCCGATATAACGCGACCTGATATAACACGAATTCGGATATAACGCGATAAAGCAGTGCTCGGGGGGAGGGCGGAGGGGGGGTTGCGCACTCCGGTGGATCAAAACAAGTTCGATATAATGCAGTTTCACCTATAATGCGGTAAGATTTTGTGGCTCCCGAGGACAGTGTTATATCGGGGTAGAGGTGTATTTAGACAAAAGGGGGGGGGAGGGGAAAGGTTCTACCCCTTCTCCCCTTCCTTCGCCCACCCCAGAAAACACTGACCCATCACTGGTAATATCACCCAAAAGGTCTGTACAGTTCTATTCACTAAAATAAGAAACTAGTAATTACACAGAACAGAAATAGGGATTTCTAATCCCAATTTTAAAATGTATCAAATATGCCATGAGGCTTTTCTACTATTAAGTACCTTTGTTCTGTACAATGTTCCTTAATCCTAAATTGTATGTTAAATGGTCACAAATAAAGCACTTCCACTAAGAAGAAAAACTGCAGTTCTAGCATGTGTAATTCTTTGTAAATGAACATCTACATTGCTGAAATGGCATTAAAGTGACAAATGACTATAATCCAATGGCCCAAGGACAGCAAGTTCTATTACAAACAGATTTGTCTGTTTTGTATGACACAGCATGCTGCACATGTATCACAACAAATAGAAACTGAACAGCATACTTTATCTATATGCAAAAGCATCACTTTCCCCCCCTTCAACTTTAGAACTAGTTACATGAATGGAGGTAGCAGTGTGTCTAAGCAACAAACAGGCTCCCTAAACTGACACTACAAAAATCATTAAATAAGCAAACTGCAGTAGCAATTCTAAAAAAAGGTCTCTGAACCAGTACTGTTGTCTAGAATTTTTTTTGGAAGGGGGGCAGCAGACTGAAAAAGTTACAAATTTGCCTTCTAGTTACTTGTGTGGCACTAAATTAATCTTGTCAAAGAACAAACAAGCAAGAAATGATTCATCCCACTTTTGTAATCCTTTCCCCATTGAATCTGTTTTCACAAGGTTTATGCATGAAGTTTGTCATACAACTAATTCCACCTAACTGATAAAAGAAAATAAACAGAAATAGGAACTGTTCCTAGCGTTCATGATTAGCGCTGTGTATTAATACTTCCAATAAAGAAACTTCCAACATTTATTTGCTGAAGAATGAAAATGGTTTTATTTTAAGAGTAGGATTTTTTAAGCTTTCTTAATGTAATATAGCTTCAAATACAGCTAATGTTAAAACAAAGCTTAATACCTGTAATAGGACTCAAGCAGTGATGCAACAGGTTTATTTCAAGTTCTGTCTTTGAAGAGAGGGGGAAAAAAACCTAACAGATTCTAAATGTGCTCAGAAGTACACACCCATAAGTATAGTAGAGTGATAGGAGTGTTTAAGTGACTGATTAAAATGATTATGAAACAGCTTCATTAAATAAAAAGCCAAAAGTGACGAGTATATTTGAATTATATTGGGATATTCTGAAATGCATTTTGTACAGCACATTGTCAAAACTGTCATTTCAAGATACTCCTTTCAAAATGTCATGTACTATCACTTCAACAGAAATAAAAATACAGTAAACATGGGATTAAAGCCCGCTGTATTTGCTTTCTCCACTCCATTAAAGTGAAACTCTCTGGATGATGACATTGCTCTGCTGAAAACAGACTGCATGTTTCATGGTTCCCAAAACAGTCATAGAAAAGCAGAATAACTTTTCCTTGGAGACAAATATTTCTCAATCAAGATAAACAAATTTAGTTCATAGTCACATGAAAAATAAATGCTTTATACCTTTACTGGGTCTCTTCATGATGGTATGCACATAATGTGTTAATAAATTAGCAATGTGGTATAGTCTCATACTAATAGACAAGTCATATCAGAACATACTCACTCCATTTCACTCTAATATTGTCTCTTCTTAAAATTATTAAAAAAAAATAAAAAAAATCACATCTACATCTAAAATTGCATTTCCACACACAAAACAAGTATGTAAAGAACTTTTTCTCTTCAGGTTCCCCTTTTGGGAACTGCAGTCCTGAGGATGCATTCATAAATTTATTTTTTCCCAAATAATATTCTCTTCCTACTTTAGCATTTAAAGCATGCCTTCTTACAATACTATCACCGGCACCTACAGTGATGCCAGAATAAAAACAATATGCAGAACTGGATTATAACAGTACATGGTCATAGAGATTTAAGCAAAAATTTAAAAAAACTAGACTATCTTCAGGAATAATGTGAGTGACAGTGAACAAATATCAGCATATGACAACTGTAAAGTGCCAAGATGATTGATTTAAAAAAAATCTGCAAGTTCATTTTCTGAAGGATACACAAACTTCAGTCCTGATCCTGTAAAGACTTACATGCTTCACTTATCTACAGAATAGTCGCACTAACAGTAGTACTACCCACAGTTGGTTAAGTGGCCTTGAAGATACTCACTGTGAAAAGTGTATTAGAAAAAGAGCAAAGCTGCATGTATAATCCTCTTTAACTGCTACAACATAAACGTAAGTTATCAGTTGTGTGCTTTTTCTTTGCAGAAAAAAAGATGGAGACTTAATGAACTAATCATCAATACAAAAAAGGTCTGTCATTCTCCATCAAGAAAAATCTGAATTTCTGTCTTTTGCACTGCACCTGGATAATAATCACACAAAATACTGCTTATTTTACTCACTTGGGGATGGGGTAGAAGGGAGTCCAAAAAACTTTAAAGCTTAAACTCAAAGTTATCTCAATTTTCATTATAATATGTGTTGTATTCTGTATAGTGTGGTATGTGTTGTATACTGCTCACTTGAGAAACAAAACGACATTAATTCCCATTAATTCCCTGCTTACAGTGGAAGTTAAAGGTAAGAAACGCTGTAACCATTATGTTTTATTATAAATATTAAAATCAAACAGGCCACACAAACTAATTGCCTCCAGCACTCAAGTGTCAACAAAAACAGCTCTCTCGAAAATCAAGCCTGACAAGTAGTGCACCTCAGTAGTTTTGATCAAGTATACTCTTGGCTTAAAAAAACACAGCCATCACCATTAATGCACTACTTTTACTATATATAAACACTTTGATGAATGACTTTCAGAAAAATATGCCACACAACTAATGCATTATCACGTTGCTCTAGACACTTTCATTTTCTGAAAATATTTTTTCAACTAGTAAAACAGCATAATATTATTATTTGTATTATGCCTAATCTGATCAAGCATAAAACTTTGTGTTTTTTTTTAAATACACATCTACCAATGCAGCATATTTATCCCCCAATACTTTGATTGGGAACAAAATTTGCACACACAAAGCAATGAATGTTCCACTTGGCCCATTCAATCATTTGCTTTTTTTACACACTGGAGATTGGACCAAAGAATCAAGCCTCATGTGCTAACTTTCCTTCAAGTTCTAACTTTCATGCAAAAGCTCCCAGGAATGCAGGATTTTTATTCCATGCATAGCTATCTTGGCTGGTTTATTACACACACATCCCAAATGCAGGATTTTTATTCCCTGCACTGATACCTTGGCTGGTTGATCCCACACATGCAGACACACACACACGGATTTTCACACACATCGCAGCGCATGTTAATCTCGTTACTCAGCCCTTTGCAGCATCATGCACTAAGGTTTGTTTGGGGAAAGGGGAAAACCCAAATGAATCCGCAAACTCCTTATTCCCTTCCCATTACAGAATCCCTTCCCCTCCGCCCCAAAAAGCCCATCAGCCTCCCCCTCCCCGCCCAGGCTTGGAGGGAGGAGGAATCTCCACATCCCGCGAAGGACACCCAGGAGGCCGCCCCTTCCCCGCACCAACCCGCAGTGAAACCACCGGCGATTAAGGGCCAGGATCCCTTCCCCCCATCAGGGGCTGCGGGGAGGGCGGTGCTGCCGCCCCCCTCCCCGGGGGGACTCAAGGCCCGCCGGCCCCCTGAGGAGATTCAATGAGGCTGCAGAATCACCCTGGGCCTAGTCCCGGGCAGCATGCTTCCCCTGGGCCGGCGAGGCGGCGGGGCCCAGGAGCCCCTGCGGGCCGGGCAAGGCTCCCCCGCCACCCCCCGCCCGGCGGGCCCCGGGCTCGGCCGTACCTGGGCGCTGTTTAAGGCCATGGCGCCCCCGCTTCAATGGGGAGCTCGGCGTCCGCTCGGCTCCTCACGCTGCTGCCCCCGCCGCCGCCATCTTCTCTCTCGCGCACACACACCACCGGGCGGGCAGGCGGTCACCAGCGCGCCTGCGCGCAGCTCGCCCCGCCGGCAGGGGGAAGGACTCTGCGCCTGCGCGCAGCCCGGGAGGGGGTGAGAGGGGTGGGGCCTGCAGAGTAGCTGAGCCAGCGGGAGAGGGGGGTGTGAGTGGGTGAGGGAGGGGGGCGGGGGGATGGAGACGGCCAGGGGGCTTTGGGCCTCTCTCCGGCCCAGAGGCCTAGGCGGCCATTGATTGTAAGGGATCCAGCCTGATCTGTCTGCCTCTGAGGGGGCGCAGGATGGCTACACAGAGAGTCCCCCCCACCCTCTGGGGTGAAACTGGGCTGCAACAAAGACAGCCTCACAAACCCTCCCCCCCATCCCAAGTGCACCTTAATGCCAACAAGGCTGGTGCTCTGCCCTTTAAGCTTCATACATGTCCGCAGTTGGGCTGCCTTGAGGTACAGGTGCACAGTCCCAGCTGGCCACTGGAGATCTGTCTCTCCCTGGAGTTGTCACATGTTCCACCGCTGGGAGACGTCTGCTTGGGTCTGGCTGACTCTTCCTTCTGCAAGGTTGCTGGCAGTGGCAAGATGTTTGTGGGTCTCAAGTTCTAGCCCTGGTCCCAGGAAGTGTCACCTCACGGCAGCCACCTTTCATTCAGTTGTATCACCCAGGTGATGGGAGTTGTTTGCCCAGCTGGAAAAACTCGGAAAGATGATGTTTCTATTAACCACGGACTACCAATGTAGACAAGCCATTTATGCATGGTATAAAATCAGTTCCTCGGTGGAGGCAATATATCTTCAGTGTGTTAATAAAGAACACACACAATGTGCGTTCATAATGGCAGTACATCCAAAAGGTTGCCTCCAAGAAATTTAAGTCTTTATACTTTGGTATGTGACCGTTACAACCATTGCTGCAACTTACCAATGTTTTTAGCTTTGACTTTACTGGTCAGACAATTCATTTCTAAAGCTTCCCCACCCCAAATACAAATGTCTTTTAAAATGTTTCAGAAAGAGTCACATCATCTACTTCACTTCTTAATGTTTTCCATGCCGGGATCCTCCACTAATTTAGTAACATTGGACAGGCAGGGAGGTCACAACCTCCACTATTGCCAACACTTCAGTTCGTGAAAATCTTTTGCTTAAAGACCCAGCTCATAAAGTCATGTTATTACTTG